TTTAAACTTAAACTTCTTCTAACACCACTTCTTCAAAGTAGACTCGTCCAGGCCACGGTATTTTGTGGAAGAGCCACACTCAAGGGGCCAAAGAGCCGCATGTGGCTCTCGAGCCGTGGTTTGCCTACCACGGGCCTGGCACAATGCCCTCGAGGTCTATCGTGTTGCTGGGAGTGGAGTTTTTTGCTTATTTCCTAGAGCTCATCAGTTGGACCTGGGCAGTCTTAACTGCCCCTGGAGACTTGCTAACCTCCCTTCTTATCAAAGACAGCTGGCCTCAGCTGCAGGCCTCCTGCAGGCGATGAGATGGGATGAGTTTATTTAAATCGCTTTCTCAGCTGAAACTGGTTTGGCTCAGTGGATAGACCCTCGGCCTGCGGACTGAAAGGTCCCGGGTTCGATTCCGGTCAAGGGCATGTACCTTGGTTGCAGGCACATCCCCAGTAGGGAGTGTGCAAGAGGCAGCTGATCGGTGTTTCTCTCTCACCAATGACTCTAACTTTCTATCCCTCTCTCTTCTTCTCTGTAAAAAAAATCAATAAAATATATTTTAAAAATTAAAAAAAAAATTGCTTTCTCAGCGGCACCCCACACCGAATTCTCTGTGGCGGTGCTGCCCTGGGCCCTGAAGGAGGCTCAGCAACATCCCTGGCTCCGCCCACCAGGTGCCAATAGCTCCCCCTCCCCAGTCATGACAACCATAGCCTCTGGGGCCATTGCAAGTGTCCCCTGGGGAGAAGAATGTCCTGGTGGAGACCTGCTGGTTTAAATAGTACGCCAGGTGCTTGGACATTTGCTGCAGAGAGTGGTGAGCGCAGGACCGGGCGGGGAGTTCCTCTGAGTGTTGTTCATCCTTTGGGCTTCCCTGGCCAGGGCTGGGCACAGCTCCCAGCATCCTACAGCCTCCCTCCGCACACCTGGGCCCAAGCTCAACTTTCTCGGAGCCCCGGGGGACCGGTGTTGGAGATGCAGGCTGGTCCCTGGGCCCCAGTGCCAAGTGCCAGGAAACCACAGTTGCTGTAGCGACTGCTGAGCTCTTAGGGCGAGAAGCTGGTTGGTTGAGGGGCAAAAGGCTCCGGTGCCTGGAGGAGCCAACATCCAGGGGCCTTGGCTGGGAGGTCACGATCCAGTGTTCACCTCTTAGCGTTAGCAGGCCACGCCGAGCTGTGGGGAGCAGTTGGTTCGGTTCCCCAGGGGCACCACAAGTCACAGAGGGGGCCTTGGAGGGTGAGACAGACACACCCCACTCCGATGGCCCTTCCGGGCTGGCCTCCTGGGAAGGCCACTCGGCCACAGGTGTGAGGTGTCCCAGACCCAGTCCCTGTCCCTGGGAGAGAGCTTCCAGGGGGGTGGACAGCATGAGCGCGGGCCCCCTCAGCCCAGGCACCCGCCAGCGGCTCCTCCAGGGTCAGGCAGGCCCCCTCCCAGAACCTCCATCCAACACTGTGGCCATCTTCATCAGCTCCACGGTCTCAGGTAAGGGGCGGGGCAGGGCTTGGGTTTTCGAGGCCAGGGGCACGCTTGGTGGTGCCAGGGCAATGGGCATGGCTCACAGTGTCCCCTAAGAGACCTGGATGTGAATGCAGCCGGCCAGTGACCCATGTGGGGAGCGTCCCAGATCCTCTGTTTCTTTTTTTTATTTATTTAATAAATAATTATTTTTTAAAATAGCAGAAACTGTTTTGGCTCAGTGGATAGAGCGTCGGCCTGCGGACTGAAAGGTCCCAGTGTGCAAGAGGCAGCTGATCGATGTTTCTCTCCAATTGATGTTTCTAGCACGCTCTCTCTCTCTCTCTCTCTCTCTCTCTCTCTCTCTCTTTCTCTCTGTAAAAAATCAATAAAATATAGTATTTTTATTAAAAAAAAAATATATATATATATATAATTGATTTTTTTTACAGAGAGGAAGGGAGAAGGATAGAGAGTTAGAAACATTGATGGGAGAGAAACATTGACCAGCTGCCTCCTGCACACCTACTAATGGGGATGTGCCCGCAACCAAGTACATGCCCTTGACCGGAATTGAACCTGGGATCCTTCAGTCCACAGGCCGAAGCTCTATCCACTGAGCCAAACCGGTAGGGCTGTGTTTCTTTGATAATCCAGGCTGGGAACCTGACTTGACAGAGTTGCTATGAGTGGCAAACGATATTGCAACTAACATTTCTGGTGAATGCAGTGCACTAGGCTTAGAGTGCCAGTGTCTTCCCACATGACTGACTGCTCACCTCCCCAACTGCATCTCGTACGATCCCCTCCTCACCCGTGTGTTGCAGATCCTGGAACCCATGAAGCCCTAGGCCCCAAAAGCTGTAGTTACTTAATTTATGTGTCTGTTTAATGCCTGGCTTTCCCCACTAGGCTATGAGCTTCGCCAGGGCAAAAGCTACATTGAGCGGTGTTCTGGAAATGTTTAATAACCTGATCTTCAAACATTTTAAAGGAAAAGAACAAAAAAACAACAATACATAAAACGCCTGATTTGCACTGTCTGCCAGTTTCTGCGGTGTTAGCCCTCCACCATGGCCCATTTCAAGCTGCTGTGTAACTTCACAAACATGGAGTGGGAAGAACTGGGCAGTGGTTCACACACTCACACACACACACACACACACACACACGCATATATATACACAGAAACACATACATATACACACACACACACACACAACACACACACACACACGCACACACACAGTCACCATCCTCTAGTATTTTCCCGCCACAAACGCAATAGCAGTAAACAAACCCAGGAGCAGAGCTCCCCAGCCAATGTGGTAAGATGGTTTGGAAGCCGTGACCTTTGAGTACTTGAGATCTCTGCTTTCGCTATATTGTATTCCATTGCAAGTTCAGATCATTTCATTTTTCATAATGGCTATGTCAACAATCACTGGCTCGCAGAATTCCTGAGGATTTAGCCATCAGCTCTCCCACGCCAGCAGGGGCCCGTGCTGGCGGACTGCATTATTTATATATGTCTCATTCGCTGTTGTGCCCCTGATCTGAGCAGTGTCTAGATCTAAAGAAACTTCCCAGTTGGTATTTTATGGACAAATGTAAATAGCCTGTGGGATCTATGAAACCAGCATGGGAAGGGGAGGAGGTGGGACAAGATAGGCATTGAGGCCAGCTCCTGTGGCAGGACCTAGGCAGCTTCTTTGTACCAGTGGTTTTGGGAGGCCTTTTATTTTATTTATTTATTCAGGTAGTTAGTTAATTAGTTATTTAGTTGTTTTTTGTTAACCCTCACCGGAGGATATTTTTCCATTGATCTTTTAGAGCAGTGCTTCTCAACCTTCCTAATGCCTCGACCCTTTAATACAGCTCCTCATGTTGTGGGGAACCCCAACCATAATATTATTTTCGTTGCTACTTCATAACTGTAATTTTGCTGCTGCTATGAATCGTAATGTAAACATCTGTGTTTTCCAATGGTCTTAGACAACGCTGCTAGCGGTTCTCAACCTGTGGGTCGCAAAATTACCAAAAACAAAAACAAAAACAAAAAACCACCAGTAGCAAAATTACAGTTATGAAGTAGCAACGAAAATAATTTTATGGTTGGGCGTCACCACCACATGAGGAACTGTATTAAAGGTCGAGGCATTAGAAAGGTTGAGAACCACTGTTTTAGAGAGAGTGGAAGAGAGACGGAAAACAAAGAAAAACATCGATGTGAGAGAACCACATTGATTGGTTGCCTGCCTCCATGCGCCCCAACCAGGGCCTTGGGCCAGGGAGGTGCCTGCAACCAAGGTACATGCCCTTGACTGGAATCGAACCCTGGACCCTTTGGTCCATAGGCCGGTGCTCTATCCACTGAGCCAAACCAGCCAGGGCTAGGAGGCCTTTGAAAGACACTAATGTGACCTCCTCCTGGCCATGTGGAGAAAACAAATGCTTCTCCAAAACCTATGTTGCACTCCGTAGTTTAACTTGTGTAGACAGTGGTTCTACCAACCTTTATTGAGTGCCCATGCTGAGTGCTGAGAAATTGGGAATGGCCGCGACAAAAAGAACTTTTTCTACTTTTGGGAGCTGGCAGCCCCAAAGAGCAGGGTGGGGGGGGGGGGAAACTGAGGCTAGCCTGACACCTGGCATTAGGCCTCACCACGAAGTCAGTGATGGAGAAGGTCTTAGAATCCATCCAGGCTTACGCTGAGTAGGGCTGCCAGATTTAGCAAAAACAAACAAATAAGCAAAACACAAAACCAGGCTACCCAATTAAATCTCACTTCAGATAAACCACAAATAATCGTTTTCTGTAAGTCTATCCCTTATGGTAACACATGGTTTGTTGTTTACCTCACATGCAAATGGAACTGGTACCCAGATATTGCATGGAACAGGGCACACTTATGCTAACAGATTATTTGCTGCTTCTCTGAAGTGTGAATCGAACAGGGTTTATTAGAAATGCAAATCTGTCCAAACGGTGTGTGGAGTGGGCTATGGGTATGCTGCCAAGTTATTCACTGTTCATCTGAAATGCAAGTTCTCATGAGCATCCTATAGTTTATCCGGCAACCCTCACCGAGGGCAGCTTCCCACCCGGTTAGCGGGAGCTAAGGGTTTCCTGGGATGTAGGATGATGAGTGCTGACAGCTGGGAAGTCCCAGGCCATCCAGGAGGTTTGTCTCCTTATGTGTATCTTTTTAAAAAAAAAAATATTTTATTAATTTTGTACAATAAATCAAGGGAGAGAGATAGTTAGAAACATCGACGAGAGAGAGTCATCGATCAGCTGCCTCTTGCACACCCCCTCCTGGGGATATGCCCGCAACCAAGGTACATGCCCTTGACCAGAATCGAACCCGGGACCCGTCAGTCCCCAAGCCGACGCTCTATCCATTGAGCCAAACCGGTTTCGGCTGTATGTGCATGTCCCCTCAAGGACCTCCGCCTGGGTGGGAGGGGCTGGAGCTAAAACCAGAGCCTCTGACCAGGACAGAGCTCTGTGTTCTCCCATCCAGCACCGTCCGTGTCGCCCCTTGCAGATATGGACGCGGAGAGAGAAGCTCTGCAGACGACAGCATACCCCGAAGTGCAGACCTTCTGCCAGAAGCACGGCCTGATGTTTGAGGTAATCACCACCTGCCTCAGTTTCCTCTGCCTGGGGAGAGGGAACCGGGGTGTGCCGCCTGGGCGGCCCCCCCGGGCTCTGTGCTCCGTGTCACGCTTTCCAGTTGAGTCTTGAAATGCATCGTGGATTTTGAACAGGAGACTGGCATTTTCTTTTTGCAGCAGACCCTGCAAATTCTGTCGCTGGTCCTGGCCATGGGCTGGCGAGATACAAGTCTTTAGAAAAGGCAGGTGGAGGGATGATGGCTGCACGGTGGGCGACACAGTGCTAGGAGTTGAAGCCTGGAGACCCTGCTCCTCGGATGCAGCACTTGTGTGTTGTTTTCCCTGCCCTCCTGGCCCTGCCTTCCCTGGGGCAGCTTGAGGACTGTGAGATACGCAGGGTGGGTGCTGAGTGGGGTGTGCCTTTTTCCGGAGTGCTGGACACAGTCGCTACTGGCCCCAAACAGGGTCCCCTACAGCTCACACCAACCTCGGGGTAACAGGGGGTGAGTGGGGAGTCACTGCCTGCACGTTTGATGTGGAAACCGACAAACCATCTTTGGGGTCTCAGCTCTCACGGGCGCTGCCTCCTTGCCACTTAGGACAGCAATTCAGCACCTCAAAGCCCCTGGATTATAAGACCAACGGCCATCAATATGTTTGGAAGAAAGAAGCAGTGCTGGAAATTCGACTTCCTGCCGTTGAGACACAGCTCCTTGGCAGAGGCACGGGAAAGGAACACCTACACGTTGAGAACGGATAAGACGCCAGTGTTCATCCCTAAGGTCTACACGGGCGCTCGCCGTGTGGCACGCACTGTAGACAGTCTCACTCAGAGACAGGGACAATGGCCCACTGAGAGGAAGGCTCCTGCCAAGGAGGATGGCTGATCCTTTTTCTTGCTGCCTGCCTTCCTCCAGGCACACTCAGCACTGTGGTCCTCTCACCCCGTGCTGTCTCCTTCATTAGGAATGGATGTGTCTTTCCCTCGAGGGCAAAATAATTTGAGGAGGTGGGAGCTATTCTGAGTCTGTCCTCCCTGCTTCCTCATCCCAGCCTCTCAGGGGTCAGCCGCGCTCCTTGGCCAGGGGCCCTCCTCCGGCTCGCAGGCAGAAATGGACCGCAGGCGTGCGGTTGCCAAGGCGACGTGGCCACGTCTGATGTGGGCCAAAGGAAACACCCTCCTTCGCAAAGAAAGCTCTGCGAACAAGTGTGGATCTGTCCTTGCTTTAAAAGAAACAGCTTGAAAATGCTCAGGGTCTTAAAAAATATTTTTAAGAAAATGTTTTTAAGTAAACTACTTTGGGATTGAGATTGACGGGAAGCTTGTGTGTGACACAGAGTCCCCATATATCTTGCACCCAGTTCCCATTCCCCTGAATGTGAACAATATCAGGTGCACTTGTACAACCAAGAAATGGGCACTGGCACATTGTTATTAACCAGCCTCCTGATGTTACCCAGATGTCACCACTTCTCTCTGGTCTCAGACCCCCCTCTCCCCCCGCCTCCCCCCCCAGGAGCCTCAGGTGCATTTAGATGTCAGGTCTACCCAGTCCCCTCCAGTTTGGGATGACTCCTTGGCCTTCCCGTGTTGCTCATGACCTTGGCAGTCTCGGGGAGGACTGTCCTGGCATCCTGCAGGAGGCCCCCCAATCTGGACCTGCCTGATCTTTCTCTCATGATTACTCTGGGTGTTCATTCATGTTCGTTTAATCCAGACATCCCCCTTCGGGGAGAAGCTGTCAAAAAGTATTGGAAGAACCGTCATGCCTTTGCCAGAGGTAACGGAAACGCCACCCATCCCGCCACGTTCCTGACACACCCACACTTGTCATCTCCAGGTGGTCGATCTGCGATGGGGAATCCAGCACACGCAGGCCACGGACCACATGACCACAGAGCTCTGCTTGGAGGAGCTCGATCGGTGTCGGAAAACCTCCCTAGGCCCCGCTTTCGTTGTAAGTCTTTTGGGAGAGATGGGGTCCCTCTTACGTCTCTTCTAGCCCAGAGACACAGCCCCTGCTTCCCAGCCACATCCGGGCGTGGACGCGGGTGGCATTTCTGCTGTCACACCCTGTCTCCATAGCCTGTCTGTGGCAGACATTGCTAATCATTTGCAGCACGTTTTCTGCAGAGCTAGCTGAGATCCAGACATAAACAGTCAGGTGGAAGCAGCAGGTAAGTTAGAGAACGGAGTGTTGAAATCCAAAGGGATCTTCCGATTGGCTCTGGACTTTCCATGAGCTTTCCCACCCCATCTACTTTATTTATTTATATTTTAAGTCTTCATTCTTGAAAGTATTACCTATGTCCCTTTTTCCCCCCACTGACCTCTTCTAACCTGCCTCCACCCCCAGCCCCAGGCCTTCACCCTCCTATTGTCTGTGACCACGGGTTATGCATGTATGCATACAAGTTCTCTGGTTGATCTCTTCCCACCCACCCACCCTCACCTGCTTTCCCTCTGAGATTTTGTCCCATGCGACTGTATCTCTGGACCTATTTTGCTCATCCACTTAGTTTGTTCATTAGAGTCCACATATGAGTGAGATCATATGATACTTGTCTTTCTCTGACTGGCTTATTTCGCTTCCCATAATACTCTCCATTGCTGTTGCAAATGGTAGGAGTTCTTTCTTTTTTTAATAGCTGGATAGTATTCCATTGTGTAGATGTACCACAGCTTTTTTATCCACTCACCTGCTGATGACCGCGTAGGCTGTTTCCAAGTGTTAAATGGTAAATTGTGCTGCTATGAACACAGGGGTGCATACATTCTTTCTGATTGGTGTTTCTGATTTCTAAGGATATATTCCTAGAAGTGGGATCACTGGATCAGAAGGGAATTTCCTTTTTAATTTTTAAAGGAAACTCCTGTTTTACAAGTGGCCACACCAGTCTGCATTCCCACCAGCAATGCATAATACTTCTTATAATCATCCTTTACTTGAAAAAAGTGCCAAAACTGCCCTATATGGTTGGTTGTGGGTTTGTTCTCTGGTTGGAGCACGTTTGGGAGGCAACCAATTGATGTTTCTCTCTGTCTCTCTCTCTCTCCCTTCCTCTCTCTCTAAAATTAATAAACATCTCCTAGGTTGAGGATTTAAAAAAAGAATACTAAAAACTAAAATAATTATTGAAAAGTATCCCAACTCTGAAAATGCCTTACCAGTTTAAAAAAGTAAATAAGTTTAAAAATACTATTTTTTAATATACTTTATTGATTTTTTACAGAGAAGAACGGAGAGGGATAGAGAGTTAGAAACATCAGTGATAGAGAAGAATCGACCAGCTGCCTCCTGCACACCCCCTACTGGGGATGTGCCCGCAACCAAGGTACATGCCCTCGACCGGAATCAAACCTAGGACCCTTCAGTCCACAGGCCGATGCTCTATCCACTGAGTCAAACCAGTTAGGGCTAAAAATATCTTATAAATATAGAGAATAAAAGACCAAAATATTTTTTCTGAACAAATGCCTTAACATTTATAAACTCCAACTAAAAACTCCAAAGAACCTGTGAGGCTCTCCAGTGAGGATTAGAGAAAAAGAACAGTAAAGGGGGGAAAGCCAAGAAAGTATTGTTGCCCCACACCCCTTAATCACAAAGAAGCTTCGAGCAGCTTCCGATAAAAATACAAATACTCCGAACCTCTCCCGGAGGTTCGTACGTAGAATGTGGGAGAGTATGGCCCCGTTTTAAAAGCTCTTTTCTAGGGAAATAAAGAGAACTAGGCGAGGTGTGGTTGGCCTAAGAATTGCCTGCCCCATGCGGTAGTCATGAACCACATGTGGTGATTTAAACTTAAGTTATTTAAAATCAGGCAGAAGTACAAGTTCAGTTCCTCAGTCCTCCAACCCACACCCGGATGGCAAGGAGCCACCACACAGGTGAGAACACTCCCAGTGGTGCAGAAAGAGCTGCCCAAGAGAGCAGGCCTCCCTACAAGAAACAAGGTGTGTGAGACATTGTTTTGTCTATACAACTAGAGGCCCAGTGCATGAAATTCGTGCACTGGTTGGGTCCCCTGTGGCTGCCAGCCGGAGCCTCCCTCCCCTTCCCCGGCGGGCCCTGCCCCCTGGTCGAACTCCCAGACAAACTCTTCGCATTCTACGCTTTTATTATATAGGATGGCACTTGGGTTCACTCTTTTGCTGTATACTTTTCTTGGCACCATCTTTTTGGCCCCTTTTCTCCCTGTCCCTCTCCAGCTTTATTGAGATACTAGTGGCCCAGTGCATGAAATTCATGTACAGGAGGTGTGTGTGTTCTTCCACCTGGCCTGCACCCTCTCCAATCTGGGACATCCCTCTCACAATCCAGGACTGCTGGCTCCTAACAGCTCACCTGCCTGCCTGCCTGATCGCCCCTAACCACTCTGCCTACCAGCCTTCTCGCCCCCCAACTGCCCCCCTCCCCAGCCTGATCACCTGCAACTGCTCCCCACTCCTGGCCTGATCGCCCCTAACTGCCTCTGCCTCGGCCCCATCACCATGGCTTTGTCTGGAAGGTCTCCCAGTCTAATTAGCACATTACCCTTTTATTAGTATAGGTAGCTGATATACAGTATCGTATACCGTATGTTTAAGGTGTACAGCATAAATGACTTGACTTACCGTATTTTCCGGTGTATAAGACGACCCCCCCTAATTTTACAGTTAAAACATAGATTTGGGCTTATATTTGCTGTATAAGACTACCCTTCACTTCAAAGAAAAGACTTACTTTGCTGTCAAGATCTGCAGGTAATTTTTGTGCAATTTTGGTCTTTTGCCCCCGATTTTCGGTTGACTTTTTTTCGTTTCAAAAGTCATCTTGTACGCCGGAAAATACATACATATACCTTGATTACTACAATAAGTTTTGTTAACATCCATCGTTTCATATAGATACAAGTAAACAAAGCAAAGAGAAGGATTTCCCCCCCTTGTAATGAGAGCTCTCAGGATCAGCTTTCAGCTCTCCCATGCAATGTACAGCCGCCATATTGTACGTAACATCCCAAGGACTTACGCATCTTGTAACTGGCTGCTTTCACCTTTCAAACCACTCTGTTTCGTTACTGTTGCTTTAAAATACAACCTAACATCTGGAAAGCTCTACACTCTGGCTTGCGTATCTCCTCCACAAATAATGTTTCCCCCATCTTCTCATTTAGCTTTCCAAATGAGCCTGGTGACTGATCATTTCGTTACGTTTCAAAGAGGAAAAAAAATTTTGCTAAAGGGAGAAGGGAGGGAGGGGAGGAAAAGAACTCCAGGGGGAATTCGACTTTGCAACCCGGACTGTAGGCAGTGAAAAGCACAACACAGTTTCCAGGTGACCCGGGAACCGGAGGCCGGTCTCTGAGCTTCTCCCAGGCCTTATGGCCCAGGGACCTCGCACCTCCTTCCAGGGGCTCTGTGGGCCGGCCCACGGCCTGCTTTCCTGCTGTACCAGGCACTGCCGCTCTATCCCCCCAGAGTCACAGCTTCATCTCCTTTCATGGCTCTGATCTGACAGGAGGCTCTCCATGGGAAGCAGAGCTGTGTGTGGGAGGGTGGGGAGTTGGGGGGGTGGGGGGGTGCCTGGGAGAGGCTTCTCTCTGGTAAATAAGTCATTAGGCGGTGTGGCAGGGGACTTTCCTCAGGCTCTTCTTCTCAAGGCCCTGGGTCTCTTGGGGCACCAGAAGCTCCGGAGTCTCCAGACAGTTGCTCCTGATAGCTTGATCTCATTCTTTGCAGCTCTTCCCTCTCCCCTTGCTTTGGTTCCACTGACCCCAGTATTTAATAAAAATAAAAAAAAAATATTTTTAACCATCGGTCTTCTTCCTAAGATCTCTGGTCTGTGGTTTGCTGATGACAGCTTTCTTAACTTCCCTTGTCCCTCCAAGTCTGAAACCAAGGTGTCAGCAGGGCTGTGCACCTGCCTACATTTCTCAGGGAGAGTTTTTTCTTTGCTTTGCCAGCTTCTGGGGGCTCCAAGTGTCCTTGGCTTGTGGTTGCATCACTCCAATCTCTAGCTTTGTTGTCATGTCATCTTTTCCACTTTTGTTTGTGTCAAATCTCCCTCTGCCTATCTCTTAGCAAAGACTAGAGCAGCGGTCACCAACCTCACTGGTGGTCCCTGAGGTCCGAAAGGTTGGTGACTGCTGGACTAGAGACCTGGTGCATGGATTCATGCACTGGTGGAGTCTCTCGGCCTGGCCTGTGGGGATCAGGCTGAAACCTGCTCGCCAACATCCCCCGAGGGGTCCCAGATTGCGAGAGGGCATTTCTCCGGTGATGCATCCCGGAATTGGGCTCCCTCCTCTCTGGTTCTGGGTGTGTTACCTCACAACTGCAGCTGCCAAGTCACTGCAACTTGGCAACTCCAAAGTGAGCTCCTGCTCCCTGGTGGTCAGAGTGCATCATAGCTACCGGTTGGATGGTCAGATGGTCAGACAGTCACTTAAGCTTTTATATATATAGATTCTCAGGATTGCATTTAGGGCCCATCTAACATAATTGCATCAGCAAAGACTCTGGTATTAGTGAGGGGTCTCCAGAGAAATAGAACCAATGGGATAGATAGATAGATGGATGGATAGATAGATATAGATGATAGATAGATAGATAGATAGATAGATAGATAGATAGATAAGAGATTTGTTATAGAAATTAGTCCACATGATTATGGAGGCCGAGAAGTTCTACCATATGTCATCTGCCAGCAGGAGACCCAGGAAAGCTGGTGGTGTAATTCAGCCTGTGTTGGGGCCTAAGGATTGAGGGGCTGATGGTGTAAATCCCATCTGAGTCTGAATACCTGAGAACCAATGTCCAACAACAGAAGACATATCTCAGCTCAAGCACGGAGGAAGTGTGCCCTTTCTCCTCTTTGTTCTAGGGGGCCCTTCATGGATTGGATGCGGCCCACCAGCATTGGGGACCATCTCCTTTACTCAGCCCACCACCTCCAATGCTAACTCTTCCAGAGACACCTTCACAGGCACACACAGAAACCATGCTTGGCCAGCTAACTATCTGGGCATTCCTTAGCTCAGTCACACTGACACATAAAATCAACATCACAACCTATTTTTGGTTAAAGGTACATTTACAGGGTCCAGGGATTAGGACCAGATATCTTTTTTTTTTTTTTTGGGGGGGGGGACTGCTATTCAACTGGCACAGAGGGCTTCCCAAGCAAAAGATGCTCAATCAGATTCCAAATATCCCTACTCTGCACACAGGTGCAATCTCTGCCTGCACTTATTATTAAAAATAATAATAATAATAATAATATATATATATATATATATTGATGTTAGAGAAGAAGGGAGAGGGAGAGAGAGATAGAAACATCAATGATGATAGAGAATCACTGATCAGCTGACTCCTTCACACCCCCTACTGGGGATTGAGCCTGCAACCCAGGCATATGTCCTTAGTTGGAATCAAACCCAGGACCCTTCAGTCCGCAGGCCAATGCTCTATCCACTGAGCCAAAACTGCTAGGGCTGCCTGCACTTCTTAGTGTGGTTTTCTCCATAGCACTAGAGCCAAACACATGTCTAGGAGCTCTGCGTGCCTCACCAACGGTCATAGAGCTAAGTGCCAGAGCTGGGATTTGAGCCCTCGCCCCTCTCTCTTACCCTCTCTCTGCCAGGCCCTCCTCGGTGACCAGTACGGCCCCTGTCTGGTCCCCACGCTGATCGAGGAGGAGGAATGGGAGGCCCTGAAGGCCCAGCTGACCGCCAGGCCGGGTGACCTGGAGCTGGTGGCTCAGCACTTCCGGCGGGACGAGAACGCTGTGCCCCCCAGCTACGTGCTGCAGGCCCCGGGCCCCGGGGACGCCCGTGGGCCGGAGGAGGCCACCCTGACCTCGGTGCTGCGCTGTGGAGCCCAGGAGGCCAGGAGGCTGGGCCTCATCACCCAGGAGCAGTGGCATCGCTACCAGCGGTCAGGTGAGGATGGGAGGCTCCCCGGGACCCGTGGGAAATGCCCGTGGGATCAGAATTCACATGGAGGGTCGTCCAAACGCCAGGATCCGCGTGTCCATGAATGCCGAACCAGCCTAGCTCCCCGGCCCTGAGAAAGGGCATTTTACAGATGACCCAGGAGCGTTCAGCCGGGGTCCAGTGAAATCTGGGTCTCTCGGGATCCTCCTCTCCTCCTCCAGCTCCATCGCTTCTCCCAGGGAGGCTCCTGGCTCAGGGGGACAGGTTCTAAGACAACCGCCAGCCCTGTTGGCCTTGGACCAGGAGGCTCTGGGGAGGCAGGACTGTTAGGGCCAAACCCAGGACAATCCTGGGGAAACGGAACGCCCGAGTTAGACCTGCTGAGAGCTCAGGCCTCTGGCCTTACGGCACCTGCTTCAGAGTGGAAACTGAGGCCCCAGGAGGAGGGGGTCTCACCTGTCCCCGGGGGAGAGTAGGGATCAGACCCTGTGACTGCTGTATCCATCACCTGCTCCCGCCTGCCCCTCAGCTCTCACCTCACCCTCCACCCACATCACCCTCCACTCCAGATATCAGAAAGATTTTTTTTAAATTTTTTTTTTTAATATATATTTTATTGATTTTTCACAGAGAGGGAGAGAGAGGGATAGAGAGTTAGAAACATCGATGAGAGAGAATCATCGATCAGCCGCCTCCTGCACACCCCCTTCTGGGGATGTGCCCGCAACCAAGGTACATGCCCCTAACCAGAATCGAACCCAGGACCTTTCAGTCCGCAGGCCGACACTCTATCCACTGAGCCAAACCGGTCCCGGCAGAAAGATTTTTTTCTAAACATGCAACATAATCAGTTCCCTTCCCCACCACTTGCTGCCAGCAAGAAACAGGTTCCTGTTGCTTGTGGGTTAGTAATACATCAGTCTGTGTGCTATTAGTATGTCAACTTATATGACCAAACATGTAGGAGTTTATGTTACTCAAACTATTAAACATATGAATTTATGTTAGTAAAACTATGAGATATATGAATTCATTTATCTGCATATTCAATTTATGAATTTATATTATAAGTATACAAGGGGCCCAGTGCATGAATTTGTGCACCTTGAAAGGAACTGTGGGGTGCAAGGCTGCAGTGGGCACAGGGCTGGGTCTCCAGCCATTATCCCTACTCCCTCCTGGTCCCTCCGGCTGTGGCTCCTTGTTCTCTGGCCTTGGCCTGGCACTCCCTGCTCACCTGCTCCACCATTCCACCACAGCTAACGCCCACCATGTTCTGCACATGTCCCCTGGTGGTCAGTGCACATTATAGCAACTAGTTGTTTGGTTGTTCTGTCATTCGGCCTATTTGCATATTAGGGTTTTATATATATACTAGAGACCCGATGCACGAATTCATGCACCAGTGGAGTCCCTTGGCCTGGCCTGTGGGATTAGGCTGAAACCGGCTCTCTGACAACCCCCAAAGGGCACTGGATTGTGAGAGGGCGCAGGTCAGGCTGAGGAACCCCATGAGTGCACAATCAAGGCCAGGGTTGGACACTTAGCATATTATGCTTTTATTAGATAGGATGATTAACTAAATTCCCTATACTGCTATTTTTGTGACTACCAACCAGGCATTCTTTAACCAGTGTCCACCAAAGGTAACAGCTTGCAAAACTAGAGTACAGTATTACTACCAAGATGTGGACATTGTTATAATCCAGAGAGAGCACTACTTTTAAAGGTACACACTTGACGTGTGTGTGTGTGTGTGTGTGTGTGTGTGTGCAGCTAGCCCATGCATGTGTATTTCATTCCATGCAGTTTTATCACCTGTGTAGCTTATAGTAACCACTACAGTCAATACATAGGGCTGCTCTCTTACTGGAAGGATCCCTCCTGCTACCCCTTTAGAGGCACACTCAGCCCTCCCAACACCCAGCCCTTGGCAACCACGAACCCATCTCCATCTCTATGATTTGATTTCAGCATGTTATAGAAGATGGAATTGCACAGTCTGTAATCTTTTGCTTGGCTTTGTTCCATCAGTATTATGTGCTCATCTTTTCACAGTATTAGTTCATAGAAAATCCTCAAAACAAGCCACCACGATTGGACTAGGGTGTCCATGTTACAGGGAGGAAGCAGATTCAGAAAGGTACAGTGCTTTGCACAAGGTCACCAGCTTGAAGATGGTCTTGGATTGGTTCATGCCAAAATGTGTTCAAGAAGGACCCCATTTTGGGACTGTTAGTTGCCTTCACGCCTGTTCACGGGGCTGAGGCGAGTGTGGGGTCACTCCACGGAGGACTTTTGAGTGGCTCTTGTCGTTGGCTCGGAGAGTAAGTCCCGTCTCCAAGGGGCTGGCTCACTGAGCTGCAAAGAGCTAGGAGCCTCTGCTGAATGCAGAACAGCTTCAAAAATAACTTCTTAGGTCTGATCGCTATTTCCAAACAATGGCTCCTAAGAATTCAATGTGGCCCTTCAGTTCTGCAAAATAAGGATTCTCGTGGCAGCTGCTACCTGCTCAGGGACAAGGTTCCGGCAAAGGATGGCCCAGAGACCAAGTCCAGCCCATCATTTGATTTTTTAAAAATATATATTTTATTGATTTTTTTTTACAGAGAGGAAGAGAGAGGGATAGAGAGTTAGAAACATAGATGAGAATCATCGATCAGCTGCCTCTTGCACACCCCCTATTGGGGATGTGCCTGCAACCAAGATACATGCCCTTGACCAGAATTGAATCTGGGACACTTTATCCACTGAGCCAAACCGGTTTCGGCCATTTGATTTTTTTAAATAAAGTTTTATTGGCACATACTCGAGAGCATTCATTTGTCTAAGGCACATGTGTCAAACACAAGGCCCGCGGGCCAAATCCGTCCCGCCAGGCCTTGCAATGTGGCCCGCACCGCGCTGTCATCACTGCACTCCTCTGCGTTTCCATCACAATGACAGTTTATGACTGTTCAGTAAACCATTCGGCCCGCGATTTAGGCTGGATTTTAGATTTTGGCCCCTTCTCTGATTGAGTTTGACACCCCTAGTCTAAGGTTACGCCATAGCACTTGGGCGCATGTTGAACTTCACTACCCCCACCTCCCACGTGTGTCTCCCCAGTGTCCCCACTCGGGCCAGCGGATAACACGCTTTCTCCCCTTCTCCTCTACCTTTGCAGTAATCGAGTGGGAGATAGAGCGGGGCCTGCTGAGCCTGACAGATGGGGAGCAGGGGGCCACCGTCTTCCTGAGGGAGATCCAAGACCTGAACAGACACATCCTGGAAGACTGTGCCCTGAAGATGGTGGACCGGCTCGCCGACGGCTGCCTGGACACAGATGCCCAGCACCTTCTCAGCAGCCTCAAGGGGCGCATCGCCGACAGGCAGCCGGGTGTCCTCAGGGCCCACCGCCTGCCGTGGAGCCGCGACCTGGTGAACCCCAAAAACAAGGCTCACGCCCGGTACCTGCAGGAGCTGGGGGAGCAGTTCGTGGCCAGGGCCAACCACCAGGTGCTCGAGCGCCTCCGGGAGCTGGAGGTGGGCCGGCAGGACCTGGCCTGGCTCTACCAGGAGATCCGCCACCACCTGGGGCTGAGCGCCGAGGCCACCGGGACCTTCTGCGGGCGCCAAGAGCTCCTGGCCCGGGTGGGCCGGCGGCTCCGGCAGAGCGACAGTCACCCCCACACGCCCCTGGTGCTCTTCGGCCCCCCGGGCATCGGGAAGACGGCGCTGATGTGCGAGCTGGCCGAGCAGGTGCCGGGGCTGCTGGGCTGCAAGACGGTGACTGTCCTGCGGCTCCTGGGGACTTCCCAGATGAGCCGCGGCGCCCACGGCCTGCTGCGGAGCCTCTGCTTCCAGGTGTGCCTGGCGTACGGGCTGCCCCTGCCCCCCGCCCAGGTCCTGGAGGCCCACGCCAGGGTGGTCCAGTTCTTCCACACCCTCCTGCACACCGTCTCCCGCCGCAACTTCGAGTCCCTGGTGATCCTGCTGGACTCGGTGGAGGACGTGGACTCCACCCGCCGCCGGAGGAGACTCCCCTGGCTGCCTCCCAGGTGCCCCCCCAGGGTCCACCTCATCGTCTCGGCCTGCTCGGGGAAGCCGGGCGTCTTAGACGCCGTGCAGCGGACGGTCACGGACCGGGAGTCCTTCTGGGAGGTGGAGCCCCTCTCCAGCATCCAAGGGCAAGAGATGGTCCGGCTGCTGCTGGTGGCCTCCAGGAGGACCCTGAGCCCAGGGCAGCGGGATCTGCTCTGGGCCAGCCTCCCGGAGTGCGGGCACCCCGGGCAGCTGAGGCTGGCCTTCGAGGAGGCCCGGAAGTGGGCGTCCTTCACCGTGCCCGCCCCGCTGGCCTCCACTGCCGAGGACATGCTGCACGAGCTGTGCGCCCGCCTGGAGCAGACGCACGGGCAGCTGCTGGTGGCCCGCGCGCTGGGCTACCTCGTGTCTTCCCGGTAAGTCTCAGTTTTTCCCCCCCGCCCACATTAAAAACACACACCTGAATTAATTTTATGTTTTATGC